AAAATCAATAGAGAAATAATGATGGAAATGTGTCTGGTCCTTGCAAACTGTCTAGAATACCTCCATTTCAGAAATCTCTGTCTAACACTCTCTCCTGTACTCATGGTAATCTGAAATAAAGCCCCAAAATGTTTCAAAATATGGTCTGAAATACTGCTACCAGTAAAAATATGAGTGATGGTCTTAATCTCAGAACAACACTGACATCAAGAAGCCAAATGACTGTCGATCCTCCTCTGGATAATGACATCAACTGGTATTAAATCCTGTCATAGTCTCCAACAGAAGAATGAAACGGCACTATGTATGATAAGGCTCCACGATAGGCAGAATAAATCCTGAGTTGGCCTGCTAGAGCGGATCAGCTGCCATGCTGATTTAGTATTAAATCTACCATCTGATGTGGCCCTCTAGAAAATACGATCTGAGACATCAAGACATAGTGAAATGGTCGAGTTCTGGTTTACCATAGCTGATGGAAGCTCTACCATAGCAGATGGAAAAGCCTGAAGTAATCGCCCAAAATCTCATCCAGTCTCTTCGAAAAAGTCCTGCACCCTCGTAGATGTATGCTGTCTGTGTGGAAAAATGGATGCTATTGTAAAATTACACATCCAACAATCATGCTAAAAGAAGATCTGCCCTATCCCAAGGCGCCACACAATATGTGTCTCGGGGCATGGTCAAAATTTCTTCAGTCTCTTCCAAATATGAGAGGCTGAGAGAGGAACTGCTGTAAGCGAATGATGTTTCCCCCTAAAATATTTGCCCAGTAGACACTGAGCCCAAAGAGAACTTTGAAACCCGAACAACCACCATAGCTTCAATGAAAATGTATCCACCGTATCCTGTAATCGTCTAAAGACTAAAGACTAGGCCTCCTTCTACAGGAAGGCAAATTGCCTTCCAACAATGTCAATGTAGACAACGCTCATGATCCTTAGAATCCTTTAAGAATCGTGCAAATATACTCTCTAGCCTTTTCAAAATGACCTTAGGAGGTCGCATAATCTGGAATAGATACAGTGGTATAGATAAAAGAACAGACCTCAGTAGAGTAATCCTACCACCAGGAGAGAGAAGGCGTGAAGTCCATCCAGAAATCCTACTCCTGACATTTATAATGCGATCATCATACATAATTATCCTCTTAGCCCCTTTAAACATAAGGACTCCCAAATATGTGAACGGTTGTTTCTGATGTGAAAATGCAGTCAAATTCACTAACCTGCGTATCTGAATATCAGATGCCCACCAAAGTAATATAAGACCACTCTTGTCTCTATTCCCCAATTGGTCAGAGACCCCCTCGGAGTGCTCCAAACAATTGATGACCTTTCTGATAGACTTCTTCTGTCCATTGGTAAATATAATCATATCATCAGCAAAAGAAAGATGAGAGACAAGAGTACTATCTCCCCGTCGATACTGCATACAAGGATATGTCTGAAACCTCCGAGTAAGTAATCGAGAAAAGTAATCCGCAGCAATAATAGATAAGGATGGAGAGATAGGATCTCAATGTCTAATTCCCTGCGATGAAGAAAAGAAACCACATGGTCGTCCATTCAGAAGTACTGAGAATCGACACTCTGATATACGTCTGATCCGATAAATCCACAATTGGTCCAAACGCCTCCAGTATAGAATAAATGAATCCCCAATCCATACGATCATATGCTTTAGCCATGTCAAGTTTCAGTATAACATTCTTTCCATGCATTCTATTATCCAACATGTGCAGAAGCTCCTGGGTCAACAAAACAATGTCCCTAATAAGTCGACCGGGGACAAATCAACTCTGCCAAGGAAAATAATACAAGATAGAAATGAATTCAATCTGTTGTTCAACAGCTTTGTGATAAACAGTCCCAAAAGGTCTCTAAAAATCGTGCATATCATAGCCCAAAAGGAAGTTTACTTGTAAGAATTCAATTCAGAAAGGAATAGAATTTTTAAGCCAAACTGTCCTGGATGGGCACCAAGTAGGAAACGAGGCTATTGCGTGGCATACTAGGTAGCTCCTGTAAATGAAGTTAAGGGCCAGGCTATATAACTAGGCAAGTGCCCAATTATAAAATCTTCGAGAATTCCCCTTTTAGCCATTTTTCTTTATTATTTCTTTCATCTTGGTCCTCCAAGTTAAATTACTTTGACTTTGGTCCTTCAAGCTTCATTAAAATGCATATTAGTCTTAAACCTTCCATCCAATCGTCAATTCATCCCCCATTTCTTTTACAATTGCTCGTGAACGAGTCCACAACTGAGAACAAAAGGAAATTAATTCAAATTAAGTAGAAATCAATATTTTGATAATATAAATTGTACTTATCAAATATCATTTTTAAAATTAAATATTGTACTATTAATTTCTACATATGATAATTCCTTATAGTTTACAAGACATTTTATCACAATACTTTTCTAACAATAGTGTTTTCACGCGTTTTGTCGCATTAAATTGCTTTTTCCTTTCTTATTTCTGTCCAACGTCGAGACATGTTGCTTCTAAGGCATCCAAACTGTTAAATGACAAGTCATCAATTCCTTTGGTCACTTAAATAAAATAAAAAAAAGTGAAATATTGCAATTCTTTATTCCTTTAATTATTTGACATTTATATTTCATCGACTGAATCCAGCTATCTACCAAATACGCATTCCTGGTGCCATTTGGATTTAATCTATACTACATTAATCTTGAAAAGAAAAATTCAAATTAAAGACAAATGCAGCACGTGTGTTCTCTATCAACATTCATTCAAAGATAGAAAATATAAGTTCATCAAAATGCCGACAACATTAATAATTTGGTCAAATACCTCGACTAAGTTTTATTAAATAACAAAGCTGACAAGAACAACAGAGTACATATATGAACATAAGTGCATACAACATTGGCTAACAACCTTATTGAGTCGAGTCGAGTTCTATCGACTGACAATACTAGAACACACATAAACCATTAGCTGACAAACTTTATTGAGCCGCGTCAAGGGTTAGCATTTCGTTCAATGACAAAGTGATGAACTTAACCGCAACCTTGACTGCATTTTGAACGGCTAGTGAAGAGAAGTTAGAACTTTCAATAAAAGAAGTTCCATTAGCTAAATCGGAAATTGCCCTAATTACTATAAAAGGCGTCTTTTGTTGGTGACATACAAGGGCTACTGCAGCACTTTCCATGTCGACCGGAGCTGCCTTGAACTTAGAATACAAGAAATCTCGATAGGCAGCATTGTCTACCAACACATTAGCACTCACCCCTCTTCGCACTGTAACTACCTTTGGAGTTTGAGGTAAACACGTAGCAGAATTGGCACACTGTTCAAGGACAATATCCTGTATATGCAAGGAATAGTTAAAAACTAAATTTAAGTAAACAAATGTGTCGATCTTCTGGGCTAAGTATATTCGTGGTTAGTGTGTAAGTTTTTTAAGTAAATTTCGTGGTAGTAAATAAACTTTGGTGATCAAATGATTAACACAAGATAGCAGAAAATTAACCTCAAGTTTCCTGGCAAGCCTATAGTAGTGTTTGTTAACAGGAACCCAAAAGATATGCTGTCTATTCTCAGGTTCTCCATCAATGGAATATATCTCTTCCGGTTGATACCACACGTTGTTGAGATAGTTATCCGGATACCACACGTCTGAAACTTTCCCATTTAATCTGCCAACTTTGTATTTGGCGAAATTAAGATAACCGTAATTTCTTGTGTAGTCTCCAGTGGATTCAAATGCAAGTGCATCACCAGGTCTATCTCCATATCTCTGATCATAAAAATGTGCAAGGATTTAATCAAAATCATTTAATGGGAAAATAATTCACTGCATGTGAAAATGATCTACGAGTTTTTCCAGCTTTTTTTGACAGTTTTCATAACACCTAAATCGATGGGTTTTACTTGTTACTGAATGGTAAAGTTCATTTTAAGGAGATTATTGTGGATATATTTATGGTTACCTGCCAATTCCAGAGACCAGTATGAGCCCAATATTGAGGGATTGTGACATCTCCTATTTTGATTTGAGGATTTACATTTCCTGCTACTCCAAAGTGAAGTACTCCTTCAATCTTGAATAAACTTAGCAGCAACTGTGTCGCTAATCCTGAATTAAGCTATAAAATAATAATTTAAATGAATTATTTTGCTACCTCTAAAAATGGAAACGAACAAATAAATCATTGTATTTTCATTATGAAAATGAACATACCATGCTATTTCCGGACACGACAGCAATGACTTTTCGGTTTTCCAAGGTTCCAACTCGAAACCTTCTTCCTGTTTACAAGCATAATGAAGAAAATAAGAATAAGATTTTGGAATATTATTACTGGAGATTATGCTATTTTCTTGTTGTCTCCTTGACAACATACTTTAAGAAGATAGACAACAAAAACAACAACGACCACATATTCCAACTATTCTAAACGTTGTTAAAAAACAGACTGATAAGAGTAATAGACGAGATTTATAACCTTTTTTTTTATAGCGTCTGATACTGAATAATTCATCTTCCACATAATCAAAGTACGCAATAAATTAAATTTGAATTAAATAATTGTCTAACCTGCATAATCCAACTGGGGAATCGTGGCATGAGGAAGAAAATTTGAAGATCGGAGAAGAGGGTCCAACTCAAAAGTCTTGGGCACTACAATACCTAAGTAAGGACCCTCTTCATTTATCTCAGCGATATTTTCCAACAAATTCGAAGAAATATCAGCATCTGCCACATTTGTGATACTCATAATCATCATCATAACCCATCCCAATGACAAAATTCTCACAACTATAGACATCTTTTCTTCTTCAAACTCAAACTGCTGAAACCTCTCAAGAAATGTGGAATATATAGAATGCATAAATAGACGCACGTTTCTTAATTGGTTTCAGTTGATATGACGTGTTTGGATGATATTTCAACTTGATCAAAATAGTACACTATTCCTGCATGTACGATTTTTTACAATTTGCTTTAACAATCGATTTATAAAACGTTCAAATCAAACATTAATTTTAGCCCGTCATTCATAATTTCTATTCAATTATTATCCACACATTTCAGATGATCCACTGCTATTAATCTTTATAAATCACTTGCAAATTTGACAAACGAAGGCAAAGCTGTTTAGTTACTCTTCAACTCAAATAATTTCATAGGTGCCTTTGAACTAAAGGAATGCATTAGGTCAAGATTGAAGCACAATAATCGAAGGTTAGGTGATAATCATCTTTTTTTCCCTATCGTTTGGTTCTCTTATGAAAATGAAGGCACGCCTCAAAACTGAATTCTTGGATTTTGCCTTTGCCAAAAGCAAGAAATCAAGAATTAGTGAATTATTTTGCTGAAGTTACTCATCTCGTCATCTAACATACGGAATTACATTTGAGAGGTAATTTCAAGTCTCTCTGAATTATTAGAATCTAACAAATTAGTTAAATATATTGCCAACTAAGGGTGTAAACATGGGCCAGTTAACCAAGTTCGAGACAGATCAATTCAAATTCAATAAAGATCTTGTCATTAATATATCAACATGGACAAGTAGATCATGCTAGACTTGAGTAGTCAAGTGCACAACTTGGGTCGTGCTTAGCCTCTGGCTTTTCCGTTAAAAAGTTAATGCATGTTTGACAAAATTTAAATTATATTTTAAACAAATCAAACTATATATTTTGTAGGATCAATTACCATCCACTTTATTTCAATATTTTTTGTAATATTTGGTGGCTGTTGCAACCACATTGTAGGCATCATATAAAGTCCGAACTTGACACTGACCTAGGGCTGCAGTCACTTGCAACTTGCATGCGAAATAACGAGTGTAATAAATAAAGATTATTGATTTGAATCGAGTAAACATGAGATGTGTCATTTGATACTATAGCCCCAGTTTGGCCCCCATTATTTGACATTTTTTAGAGTTGAAAATTTTTGGAATAGTGATTGATGGGGGAATGTTTGGTGTAAAAGTAATGAAAATGTTTGGATTTGTGTTTATTATTATTTTATTTGATGAATGTGTGGTTGTAATGAAGAGAGGGAAAAATTTAATGTAATGTAATAAAATTAAAAACAGCAAAGTAACATACCTAAATACAATATTAAAAAATCTTGGTGTCGCTTCAACTAAATTGTGCAACGTGTTTTTAAATGGTTGCAGTTGATAAGAAAGTGAATGGATGATATTCCAACTTGATCCAAATTGTACTATTCCTACATGTACGAATCTATACAATTTGTTTTTAGCAACCAATTTATAACATGTGTATAAATTCAGTCAGTCAAATAGCAATTTTTATGAAACACTCATAATTTTTACTCAGTTATTATTTATGCATTTTTAAGAATCGAGTACTATTAATCTATATAAATCACTTACAAATTTAACAAATGAAGACTAAGCCGTTCAGTTACTGTTCAACTCAAATAATTTTATAGGTTCTTTCGAACTAAAATAATGCATTAGGTAAAGATTAAAACACGTCAAAAATTGAAATTAAGAAATATAGTGTAGTTTTTACATTTTGAAAATTTAAAAATTATATAATTGACTAATTATAGTAATTATTAAGTAAATATAGTGTTTTTAAATTTAAGACGTTTGGTATGTATTATTTTAATTATTGAATAATTTTAGAATTAAGTAAACGTTTTTTTTACGCCTGGGTCTCATCTGAACTAGCCTAGACTTGTAAAGTATGAAGGTTAACCTTCATATCTAGCCATATTTTACTCTATTTAGAACATTGACAAGGATTGAAAATTTAAGATATTGACTTTAAATATGAGACGCAATAGTTTGGCGGAGGAGGCCATATATAGAATAATACAAAGAGGAGAGATGGCTCTATGAAGTATGGGGGGGTAGTGGTAGAGAGTCGACAAGTCTCCTTCAATTCCAGTCTTCCTCCCGGTCCCCATCTTCCTTGCCATCACTATTTGTATAATTATATTTATATCAAAATATTTATTTGTCGCCATCCCTATAGTATTTTTTATCGTATTCTTATCTTCAAACTTTTCATTAGTTAACTCATTTTGTATTTAATAATAGTTTATATCCAAAAAGCCCGTAAAAATAACGTATAGCAACTTATTTTTCATCTTATTTTTAAAACAAAGGTAAATTAATTAAAAATACGAAAATTTTCCCCTCATTTCAAAATATATAAACAAAATATTTTGACATATATCACCAGTAACAATGAGATGTACTAATTGATGGAATGTGGAAGATAAGAATTCCTGATTGGGAAATGCTGGACTATTTTGGCTCGTTGTTTCAAAAATAAATAAAAGTCATGAATTTAAAATACAATTAAACAGTTAAAATAACGTCTTGATTGAATAAACTTCAAACTTAAGACAATTATTTTCTGACTATTGTCAACATTGAATGTTTCAATTTCTGAATGGAATCCATAGATAGAATATGTGGAGATTAAGACACTGTTCACTGATTTTTTGTTTTTTTCCGTATATTGGTGTGATTTTTAAATGCTCTTACGGTCTATGGTAGGGACATTCATTTATCATTGAGATGACTATCAATTAAAATCTTGGTGTCGCTCCCACTAAACTGTGGAACATGTTTTTAAGTTGCAGTAGTTGATAAGAAAGTGAATGGATGATATTCCAACTTGATCCAAATGGTATTATTCCCGCATCTACGATTCTATACAATCTGTTTTTAGCAATCAAGTTATAAAAAATCATTCAATTACAATTTGTTTTTAGCAACCAATTTATAACATGTGTATAAATTCAGTCAAGTCAAATAGCAATTTTTATGAAACACTCATAATTATTAGAGGAAATTACATAAAACAAAAATTTTAAACTTTCAATTTCAAAATTCAGATTAACAAATTTTTATTTCAAAAATCAGATAATTAAGTATGAAGATTAACCTTCATATCTAGCCATATTTTACTCTATTTAGAACATTGACAAGGATTGAAAAATTTAAGAAATCAACTTTAAAAATGAGACGCAACTGTTTGGCGGAGGAGGCCATATATAGAATA